AAAAAAAAAAAAAAAAAAAAAAAAAAAAGTGAAACACGCTGATAGAGTGCCTCCCACCGATGTTGTGCATCCATTCACAAATGAAGTCGAAGAAAATGAATCCCAAACGATAATAAATGTATGTTCCCATTTTTTTATACACCTGGGGAGTTTTGTATGGCCTCTTGTATGACCAGTTCGCAGAATGCTTATGTAGGAGGAGCTCGCCACAGGGGATATTTCATTTTGTGAGTCCCCATTTGGGGTGCTCGGAGGGGGGAAGCAGTCATGGGCACAAAAAGAGACGCCACCATAATTACGGGGAGAGATACAATCATGGGTATATGCACACCCCCCGTCCTAGTTGCGGGCAGCGGTTCGATCGACCTTCTACACACCGATGTTGGACGAGCAGAGTTCACCTCGACACGGAGACTCAAATTAGCGACGTTCTCCTCTACCCCGAAGAGGGTCCAAATGGAGAAGCACAATTGGGACAGAGAAAAAGACCCGCGTTACACGCAAATGTTAAGTGTAAAAAAAAAGGAGGAACTTCCAGGAAGGCACTCTTCTTAAAGAACATATGTGCCATAATAAATGAGCAGAGTGAAGAACGAATGAAGCAATTGGATGAGCTAAACACAGGAAGCAGCAACGGCACCAACGCGTTGGAGGCTGTCCGCAATGGTGGTAACCCTGTGAAGAAGAGCTCAGTGGCAAAAGAACTTTCCTTAAATGGAGAAGTGAGCCAAATTGTGGAAGCCTACTGGCTGTGCACTTTGAAAAATAAATATTTGTATTCATTTTTAAAAAAGAAAAAAAAATTAATTTTCAGCGTCAGCGCAGGGGTGGATTCCCTTTCCCTCTTGTACTCCTTCCTTTTTGTCGTGTACAAAATTTTAGTGACCCTGCGGTATAGGCACTCTCACAGTTACGAATCCTTGTTACAATTATTAAATGGTGTGTACTCATATTCGCATGATGATATAAACGAGATTGTCCGCTGCAGTAAGGGAGATAATGGGGTTAAGTTCTTTGCCTCCGTTTTGAGGAACGTAACCGTCGTGTACTGTAACCACGCCACGAGGGAGGACTGCACCAAGGAGAAGAACTTTGTGAAAAATATTTGCAGGAGGCACAAGATCAGGTTCCGCACCCAGGTGCTCAGGAGGAAGGGGGAGACTGCCGAACAGGAGGAAGCGTCCCCCCAAAATCAACCGTACCTCAAACGGGGAAACAACTTTCTACTCCTGGCCAGAGAATGGAGGAGACAAGTGTACGTGCAGCTGACCAGGCAGCTGGAGAGGGAGGCCAGGAGGGAAAGAAGCATTCGAGGAGGGCAGGGGGGTGACGACCACAACTTTATGTACGCAGACGGGGGGAGCATGCCCAAGTACAGCTACCGGGATTACCTGACCGACGTGGACTACTACATAAGATTAGCTAATAGGAAGCCCATCTCGGAGGTGCTGCTCAGGGGTGAGGCGCCAACCAGCACGCCGCAACATAAATTGGTAAAGACGCCGATGGCCACTGCGCGCGCGTGCTCGCTCGTGAAGTCGCTAGTATTTGTGGGGCACCACCGCAACGACAACAACGAAACGGTGCTGTTTCAGTTCCTCAGGGGGGCCTTCATAAAAAACCTGAGGGGCATCAAATTCCTCACCGCGTTTAAGGACTGCCTAATATACAGGCCATTTATCAAGCTGAGCAAAATCAACCTGTACATGTACATGCAGCTTTTGAACAAGTCGTGGCGCTTCGACACGTCCAACCAGAGCTTGTCCTCCTCGAGGAACTTTATCAGGCACGTTGTCATTCCGAGCATTTCGTCCCTGTTCGAGGGCGGGGTTCCCACTGCAGGCAATGCAGCCAACACAGCCAACGACGCTAACGCCGCGAAAAAGGTTAACACTGGTAACAACCCCGCTGTGAGGGGAGAGCTGCAAAGCAGCCGCGTGTACGCGTACCCCACGCTGGACAGAAAGCTCAGCAACATCATGGCCCAAACGACCAACCTGGACAGCCACCTGCAGTTCTACACAAACGTCTTCACCATATACCTGCACAACAAGTACTACTACAACAACAAGGCAAATACACACACACAACTAAGTAGCAATCCGTTCATAAAAGAATATCACATCATGCAAAGCAAATTGTATAACTCCTTTTTTGGAAGTCGGAACGATCAAATGGATGGTCTCATATCAATTAACAAAGTTTTATATGAACAGAATTTTTTTTTAAAAATTTTTAATTTTTTGGAGTTTTTAATTTTACCCTCTACATTTGTCCGTATACAAATCCTCCACACAATGGTGAGGAAATACACGGGGTGCAGTTTGACCTATGCCAATGTAGATCGTGTGTACAACTCGTTGTACCAGTTTGTTCGATCTTACTTGTGCAACACCACAGGGGATACGCCAGCGGTGAATAGCAACATGGCCCTATCTTCACTCTTAGATGGGAAGGCAGAAGCACAAGGTAAAGATAAAGACGAGGCGTGTACCCCATCACCCAAGGGAGTAATTTCTTCAGTTAATGAAAAAGTACGAACTATACATTTGGATGGAAGAAACAAAATCCTTGTTAATAGAATCTTCTTTCGCATAGTAACGAGTGGTGAAAAAAAAGAGAAGGACTCGGAGGAGCCCCGTCCTCCTCAGCTACGAGAAAAAAATGCAAATGTATATATCCACGATGATATATCAGCACAGGTCTGCAGAATCAATCGCAGCAATGTTAATAGTGTGATTAATGAGAAGGGCACATATCTGTTGATTAAAAAGAGGAGGAAAAAAAAAAGGGAAAAGTTCCAAATATACATTCGTTATTTAAAGCGGAATGATTTTGTACACATTGGCAGAAAAAAGCCGATCAAGGCAACGAAGTTCCTTTCCAGGCGTGGCATTCCCCCAGTGTACATGTTTTCCCTCCCCGTTGTGCATATATCAAATTTTAAAAAAAATAATTTGGTTTTTTTGCACCTCTTTGGGGACATTATACAGAATGGAAATTTTTCTGTTCACCAGTTTGTGCAGATGAACGACGTACAGAGTGCATTCGTTTACTCCATTCGCTTTGGGAAGTAGGAGCCCGCCAGATGGCACTTTTTTTTAATTGCCCTTTGGATGTGTTACGTATTTTTAATCATTTTAATTGCCTGTCGACATTTTTAATTTTTTTTTTTTTTTTTTTAATACATTTTATATATATGTATATATACATTTTCCCCCCCCAATTTGTGCTCATCGTTGAGGGGGGACCCGTTCTTTGTAAAGGCCCTCCCCCACACGTGAAAATTAACATTTATGCAAGCCATTTTGGCCAACATGATGTAACAACGTTTGGAAGAGTTTACAAATATAAGTTCGCCCTGCGGCTTACCCACCAAACGGCAAGATGTATGAATTGGGGGATGGCACCTGGGAGGAGGAGAAGGCCGGCGAACACATGGAAGCAAGCATCAACAACATCGCTAACAAGCTAGCCAACATCCTCTACATAACAAATATATCCATGAAGGAAAATTTCGCAGCGCGAAATGCGTTGCAGTATGCCAAATTTATTAATGATATGAAATCTTATTGTGTAAATCTGATCCAGGCAGTGAATAACATAAGTGCAGATTTTTACAATTACACATGCTTGCCTGTTCATGCGATCCCCAGGAATCCCTACAACAACATACAGGACGTGAACACCATTACGAATAACCTTAGTGTAGACGATGGGGCGGATAAAATTAAACAGAACAAGAACACACTGCACACATTCAGAACGACGTATGACCCAAAAGATTTCAACACCATCCTCAAACACATAGAGCACTTTAATGATAACGTTTTCTCCGCACTGAACAACATGCAACATGCTAAGGTTTCCCCCCAACGGTATGCAGAGACGCAGACGTACGGGACCGTGCTCTCAGAGCGTTTGAAGAGCAAAGAAAGGGACAGCGAGCACTTGGAGGTGTATTTCGCCAAGGTCAATTATGGACTCTTCTAAAGTGAGCAGCGGTTGTGTTAGCGGTGTGGAAGGGGTGATGACCCCCCTTCCCCCCTTGCTACTTCTCCATCGCGGAGTTCCATTTTCACGAGCTCATGCCATTCCCGAGCTATTAATTGGCAGAAAAACAAATGTGTATCAACCCCCGGCGGGGAACATTTCACCATGTGTAGTTGAAACCTACAGGGGAGTCTTTTTTTTTCTTTTTTTTTTGTGGGGGGATACTTGAGTAAATACTATTTTTCTACGCAGGCATGCCGATATATGCGCGTCGTGTGCAACTACTGCGAAATGCAATGAGCAGTTCCATCATTGCATTTTCCGTAACCATGCACATTCACACACACATGTTGCACACATGTAAATTTTTTTTTTTTTTTTTTTTTTTTATTTTGGCTAGCTGTGCATGCGTGTAGAGAATTCTCAACCCCTTAAATGTTCACGCCCCCCGCCGAACTGATCGAACACGCTGCCATCGCCATTCGACGTCTTTGGCCCAAAGGCGGGGGCACTTTTATTCATTTTGCAATTAACCGCATTTCCATCGGAGTGAAAATAGTTTCCAAAGATGGTCAAGTCAGCGGTCGAGTTGTCCGCAGGGCCCCTCACATCCTCATGGCTATTTACATACCCATTTGGGTAGCTGTGGATAGACGTACAGGTGGCCATGCTGTTCATCTTGTCGTCACCCCGCGTGTAATTGTAATGGTATCCCGGATGATTGACGCGCAGAGCCCAGTTTGTGTTAGCCCCATTTGTGTATTCATTCAATTGTCCGAATGAGAAACCATTTTGTAGCTTCAGAATTTCTTCTGCATTGGACGGGTAGGCATGGTGGCCGATGTTGAAATTTTTGTGTGGGTTTACTATCGAGGGTTTGTTCGCCGCGAACGTGTGGGCCATATGCCTCGAGTGCAGGTTGTACGCGTTGATGCTGTGGACTAGGTTGTTCTGGTTGTGTGAGGAGGCGTTGTCCGCGTGAACTCCATTGGTTACGCGGTTTGGTGGGTTCTCCCCTACATTAGTGAAGTCTCCGCCGCACCTAACCATGTGATCGAACCCCCCTGCGTGGTTCCCTTTGAGGGGAAAATTGTATCCATCTAAGTAGGGTGAAGCTCGCGGGGGCTCTTCCTCCTTATTACCACTACAACCATGCACGTCACTACTACCCCCGTCGGGAAACTGGCCCCAGTTGCGCACCATATCTCCCTGAATTTTTCTGACCAAGGCAGGCGAGTAGGCATCGTCCCAATCGGCAAACATAAGAGGTAGGAAGTGAGCGCTGCGAGATTTGTTGGAGGACCCCCCATGTCCCATCAGATTTTTCTTAATGGTGCAGATGCATACATTGGCTTCATCTCTCAAGCTGTCCGGAACGGAGTTGTATTTGATTAATTCGAACAGAGCGAACAGTCTCGCGTTTTCAGGTCCATACACGGACACGGAAAATTGTCTACTCTTTTTCACAAGTGAGTTCTCATTCCCGCGGTTGTGTCTGCGCTCTACTCCATCATGGGGGTAGTTCATCTGGAAGCTTCCACTACCCTTTTCAGTCTTCATCTTCATATTCGTCTCCGTGCTCATTTCTGCGTTCGCCATAGCCACATGGACATCTCCATCATGGCAATTTATTCCCTGGAGGCTCTTTTGTGCAAACCATTCCGCCCTCCAGCACTCCTTCCCCCGTACAATGACTTTGTAAATTCTGCCCGGGATTTTTTTTTTTTTTTTTTTTTTTTTTCCACCTTTACCTTTTTCTTCAACATTGACGTAAGTTTTCTCTTCCGTGTCCTTCCCGGTTCACTTTGTCTTCGTGGATGGAGACTCTCTTTGCATGCATATGTTTGCATCTCATGGGGAGTTGTTTCTGTTTGTCCATCTGCAAAGCAAGATTTGCGTTCGCCGCGAACGTGTGGGCCATATGCCTCGAGTGCAGGTTGTACGCGTTGATGCTGTGGACTAGGTTGTTCTGGTTGTGTGAGGAGGCGTTGTCCGCGTGAACTCCATTGGTTACGCGGTTTGGTGGGTTCTCCCCTACATTAGTGAAGTCTCCGCCGCACCTAACCATGTGATCGAACCCCCCTGCGTGGTTCCCTTTGAGGGGAAAATTGTATCCATCTAAGTAGGGTGAAGCTCGCGGGGGCTCTTCCTCCTTATTACCACTACAACCATGCACGTCACTACTACCCCCGTCGGGAAACTGGCCCCAGTTGCGCACCATATCTCCCTGAATTTTTCTGACCAAGGCAGGCGAGTAGGCATCGTCCCAATCGGCAAACATAAGAGGTAGGAAGTGAGCGCTGCGAGATTTGTTGGAGGACCCCCCATGTCCCATCAGATTTTTCTTAATGGTGCAGATGCATACATTGGCTTCATCTCTCAAGCTGTCCGGAACGGAGTTGTATTTGATTAATTCGAACAGAGCGAACAGTCTCGCGTTTTCAGGTCCATACACGGACACGGAAAATTGTCTACTCTTTTTCACAAGTGAGTTCTCATTCCCGCGGTTGTGTCTGCGCTCTACTCCATCATGGGGGTAGTTCATCTGGAAGCTTCCACTACCCTTTTCAGTCTTCATCTTCATATTCGTCTCCGTGCTCATTTCTGCGTTCGCCATAGCCACATGGACATCTCCATCATGGCAATTTATTCCCTGGAGGCTCTTTTGTGCAAACCATTCCGCCCTCCAGCACTCCTTCCCCCGTACAATGACTTTTTGTAAATTCTGCCCCGGGATTTTTTTTTTTTTTTTTTTTTTTTTTTCCACCTTTACCTTTTTCTTCAACATTGACGTAAGTTTTCTCTTCCGTGTCCTTCCCGGTTCACTTTGTCTTCGTGGATGGAGACTCTCTTTGCATGCATATGTTTGCATCTCATGGGGAGTTGTTTCTGTTTGTCCATCTGCAAAGCAAGATTTGCTGTTCATCTGAGCATACTCCAATTCGTATGTCACTTGGCGTTTTCTAACATCTGTTTTATTATACGTGTGATTACTCTCTCCATTGCTTCTTAAGAAGGAAGCACTTTGGGTGTTCACGAAATGGGTATCCTTCTGTTCTTCCCCAGGGTTAACTTCCTCTTTAACTTTCATTTGGCCACTTCCACAGTGTAGTGTTTCATTTGATTGTTCACTCGTCATTGACTCGGGGGTTTCCTCCCCGTTATCCTTAATGGTTAAGTAGGTCCCTCCCCCTGGTGTGTATATATGTATATTATTTTTGCTTCTCCTAAAATGGTAAATACGTTTGGAGGAGGTCCCTTCGCTGATTAGGGTTTCACAAAACGTCTTCTCCTCATCAGATGGGGCATCCCCATGATGGTTCATGTATACATGGCTGGTTCTTCTGCAAGGGCTACTTCCCCCTTCTTTCCCCTTTGGGAGTGTTATGCATTCATGGGTACCACTACGCTTGTTCGTTTCATCGCTACCATTGGAAGTGCAGCACAGCAGTTCGTCGCTTAGGGTAGACAGCAGGGGGGGATCACTTCTCACCCTGGGCTTTGTTAGAGCCCATTTATCTCCACGTAGAGATAAGTCAGCACCATTATTATCCTCCTTTGACACAGACTCGGTGTTGAATGAGCTCTGCGTTTGGTCTTCATTTTCCCTCGTGATGGATCCATTTGTAATTTTAAAATGTTCTGTACCTACATGTTTTACGTCATCCTGTTCGGGTCTTTCGTCAGACATCCCTCCACATAGGGGGTCACTTGCATCGTTCTTCATCTGTTCACAGTTGTCTTCCCGCTGCAGCATTTCCTCCTTACTTTCTTCCCCCGTTTTTACCTTTTCATATATACTGTTACTGGGGTCATTTTTAGCCTTTTCTAAAATGGACAGTTGCGCAGTTGTGAATCTGTCCTTTGGGGGGGAGAAGCTATTTGTGCTGCTCTGTGGGTGCTCCTTTGGAGATCCTCCATAAAGATTACCCCCCTGAACATGGTTGTCCTCAAATGGGGGGATTTCCAGCCGAGTTGTTAACTCCTTTATTGGAGTAAATCTCAACCCCCCCAACGGTTCTGTCGTCTCGCTTGTATATTTTAATAAAGCATGGTCTAGTATTTGACGTTCTTCCGATTTGGCTTTTCTCCAAGAGGAGACATTTTCCTGGGCGCCTCTTTCACATCTTCGCTTTGAGTCACTGGGCCAGTCCCCTAAGATGGGGGCGCTCGCCTTCCGCTTGTGCATTATCCTGAAGGTGGAATGGTCACACGTGCGCCGCAAACGCTGCAAGCACCGCTAACACCGCCGCTGGTGGTGATTTGTGCGGGAAGAGCAGTGATTGCGCTGGACAACCTCTGACGGGAGGAACACCCGTACGGAAATGACAAACGAGTCGAATGAAGAGTCACAACAGAACCTCTCACAAGAGTTAGTAGTTTTAAACGAACAAAATAGTAAAGACAAGGAATCGGAAGGAAAGTAAAAAAAAAAAAAAAAAGAAAAGAAAACAAGCGGCGTAGGTGAAAGTATGCTATAGCTTACCCTACTTTTTGTAAAGACACGAAATGGTTGGAGTTTTATCTGCCCCCAAAAAATATGTAGAGGTGGACACGTGCCGACCTGCCTACGCTCCTGCATGTGGTCAGCAAAAAACCTGAGCTCCAGCTTAGGGGAAGTTAACAACACAGGGCCTTCTTTGCCGCTCCGGTGCGTGCGCGATGGGAGAGTTTGATGTTTGTTTGAGTTTTTATTTTACGTCGCTGCGGGGAAGCGTTTGGCGGGTGCGACCAAATAGAAGCCAAACAGGAGCCAAATGAGAGCCAAATAAGAACAAAGTGAAACCAACACAAAGCTGCCACGAAGTACATGCCCTTTTTACGCATGTCTTCGTCGGTCAAGCTTTACAACGGGGAACACAAGTCGGGTTAATACGACATACACGCTGCTGCGATTTTGACTAGGCATAAAAAGGGACATTTCATTTTGCCTTTGTTTTTTATACTACTCTGTCCGAGCTGCAGTTGTAATGGCGGGCGGAGTGCCTTTTCTTTCCTTTCCTTTCCTTTCCTTTAATTTTTTTTTTTTTTTTTTTTTTCAAGTGTTTTTTTTATCAGTATATGTACACCCCTTTTTTTTTTTTTTTGTGTGCAACTTTGGGGGGACCCCCCTGCCCGTACATAAAGTCTGTTTACCGGTGAGTGCACAACATAGGTCAGCATAATTTGCGCCATTCGTTCGGATGCCTTCCTAAATTGTGCTCTTTCAAGTGTGTGTGTGGGGGAACTGCACACTTGGTGATCCCTACACGTGAGGATACCCTTCCCGCTGTCTCGCTGGGAACACGTATCCATATGGGGACAGGTCATTATCCCCCCTTCCGTTTGTGAAAATTTATGTTGATGAACGTCTGTGCACAAAGGAAGGCATACATACTCACACATTGGTATCCTTTCCTTATGATAATGTCGTGTGATTTTATTTATTTTTTTTTTTTTTTTCCCATTCAGGTGAATCTGGTGTAGAGAGGAGGTGTAGTACTGTTTGCAACTGTCGACGGATACACCCAAACGAGTCGACTTTGCTAAGAAAGATATGCTTTTCCGGTTTATTCTCGTTGCCTCATTTTGATCCATTTTGTGTTCACGTGAGTGGCACCTTTTAATATGACGCAGTTGTTTACCCCCGACGCCGTTCCTCTTGAGTACCACTTGGCTTCTTTTCCATTTTGAATTGCGGGCATTCGAACCGCTACTTATTTTTTGGTGGACTAAAAAATCGTCGTAACTATTTTTGGGGTGTTTTCCCCTTTAGCAATTAACCGGGGTAAAAATTCCCGCGGAAAAAAAAAAAAAAAAAAAAAAAAAAAATTGGCCTTCTCCCATCGTTATTCCACTTCCCCCTATGGGGTGTTAAAAAAATATATAATTTGCGTTTCGCAATATGTTGGGGAATTGGCAGGACTTACAAGTAAGCACGTAAGGATAAAGGTAATAATTTCTACATTATTTTTTTTTTGGGGAGAATTCCTCCCCTGCCCCTTTCCACTGCGTCCAATTCGCTGCGTGTAGCATCCGCTCTGGGTATAGCTTCTGCGCCATAGCCTTTGCGCATCGCTTTTGGGCGACAGGGGAAGGAAACTAAAAAGGGCCCAAGAGCAAGAGAAGGGGCAAATGAGGGATGCGCGAAGAAGAACAACATAATAATGACGTTTTTCTTCTTTTTCATCCCCCCCCTGCCGCATATATGCTCACATGAAAAAGGAAGAAAGCCCGTACGATTTGACGCGCACCTCCGAAGGACAAACCCACCTCATTTTTCCAACGTGTCCTATCGACACACCGAACGCAGATTTGTGTCGGACCTGTTTGCACATATATCTACGCAAGAAGTGTAGTTGCTTCTTTTCTCCTTTTTCATCTTTGCCTTACGTTTCTCTCTTCTGGAAGTGTCCCCCTTTTTTTTTTTTTTTTGTTTTCACCTTAAAAATGATGACAGAGCAGGTCGCATGTCCTACCATCTGAGCGTGCAAGTGGGCTCGGGGGTGCTCCTAGATGAAGCAGGAGGAATGCTCGCCACGAGGCCCCTTCTCTGCCCCCCCGTCTTGCATCGTTCCCCTTTTTGTCAACTTCATTTTCACATATCAGGAGTGACACGGCCGTGGTGTGCATGTGTGTGTATCTGGCGCAACGGTATTTCTCGTGCTGCACTGTTGCACTGCGCTACAACTGCGTTACGCTGCTTGCCCGCTTGGTGATCACTCGAGCACTGTCTGTTGAAGCACGATGAGCGGGGGAGGCGAAAAGGAGGAGGTGAAAAACAAGGACGAAGAAATTTTCAAGCTAAGGAAGCTGGCTGTTATCTTCAAGAGTGAGTGTAAAAAGTTGAAGGAGGAAAATGACGCGCTTAAGAAGGGGAGCATTCCGAGCGGCGCAGAAGGAATTAGCAGCACCCCCGCTGTGGGAGAGCAACTAAAGAATGAGTATGCGAAGCGTCTGGCCGTAGAGAAGAGTTACAAAAAGTTAAAAAACTTTACCCTCATGTTGGAGGAAAAAATGACTCAAATGAAAAATGACAGTAAAAAAAGGTATGAAGAGGTGGAAGAGAAATTGAAGGGGTGTCAAAAGGATTTGTGTGCATCCCAAAGTGAAAGCGAAAAATTGAAGAAGACAATTCAGGAAAAAGAAGCCACCATGGAAAAAATAATAATTAAAATGGATCAATTTAAATCATATTTAAAGGAACAAAAAGGAATGACAGACATGGCAGAAAATAGTATCAACCAAGCAGTAGAATATAAAATACAAATTAGAAAATTAAAAGAACATCTTGAAGGGGTAAAAAAAACGGAAGAAATTACTTCCAAAGAAAGACAACAGTACAGAAGCATGATTATGCTCTGCTCCCAATACAAACAAAAATGTAAACAGCTTCCTCTTCTAGAAAATAAAGTAGAAATGCTAGAAAGGAAAATTAAAGAGTTAGAAATATACAAGGATAGGGATAAGGAGAAAATGGAAAATATTACCGAGTTGAGAAAAAGTCTTATAAATGAGCAAGTCGAAAAGGAGAAACTGAATGAACAACTTAGTGAATGGATCAATTTTGCAAAATTGTATATAGATAAAAATGCTATAGATGTAGAAAGCTTAAAGAGGTCCATGCAACAGATTCATGAAAAGTACACACACGTGACTTCCACAAAAACAGATTTAGAAATTCAGTATAGAAAATTAGCTGCGGAAATGGAAATGGTAAGGCAAAATCTGGAAGATAAAAAATTAGAAGTTAAAATCGTTACTAATAAGAATAGGCAGTTGGAAAAAATGTACGAATTTGCCAAACGCGATTACATGAGGGACGCGTCTACTGCATCTTGCAAGGAAGACGGCACAATTGGGGAAGACCCGCAGAAGGAAAAACCCATTGTGGCAAACACACTCGCGGAGTATAAAGCCAAGTGCGACTTTTTACAATCGGACAACGAGAAGAAGGAGAAACTGATAGAAGAGCTAAACGAACGAGTGAAGAAATATCAAAGCGAATTTGAACAGGCGTGCTTAAAGAAAAAAAGCGCAGAGACCGCCTCGGACGAGTTACAACTATACCAGAAGGAAATTCTAATTCTTAAGGAAGAAATACAAAATTATAAAAATAGGATTGTAATGTTGGAAGGGGAAGTGATGCAGGTTAGAAATGAGTGGGATGATGATAAGCAAAAGTACGAAATAGTCATTAGTGATTTAAGGGAGGCCGTTAGGAAAGCACAATTTGAAAGTAAAATCAGTGGCTCAGCAGGGACTTCTTCCAACCAGGGAGGAACTACCCCAGAAGGGAAGAAGCACCATAAGGAAGAGGAAAACGATGCACATAGCACCCTCAACGCACTGTATAACCACCTGGACAACCTCTCCTCTGTGGACGAGATCGAGTTGGTAACCCTACGGAATGAAAACTTGTATTTAAAGTCTAAGATAGAGGTTGTGAAAATTTTTTATACAAATCAAATTAAAAGCTATAGGGAGGCCTTCCTCTACATTTTGGGCTGGGACATTCAAATCGAGCAGAGTGACCAGGACGTCTTTTTCATTTTGACATCTTTATTTTCCACACACGATGGGAAGTTCATATTTATAAAAAGTAATGGGGCAAAGGACAAGCGCTCCCTTGCGTCGCAGGCGGATGAGGACAGGCACGCTAAGAGGGTCAGGCGGCACGAGGGGGAAGAAGAAGCAGCGTCCTCCTTTGAAGGGGTTGCCCCTGTGGAAGTATCTTCACAAGAAAACGGCAACCAGGGCGCCCCAAATGATGATACAACCCCATGTGAAGGGATAACTAGCGAGGGAGACGAACTTGCCGCGCCCACCACCACCCTGGACGTGTCCAAGGCAAATTTCGAAAACACAAACGTGTCCCTCTCTTCCATTGTGAAAGGCTGCCAGTACAACTTGCTACTGCACGGTCATTACGGCCTCAAGTGGAACGACAATGAGGATTGGAAGAACCACATTAACAAAATCAACACCTACCCTGTCCTCCTCTCCATGTCCTGCATAGAAGAGTTCAACAACATCAAGGCGCAGTACAGCAACACCATGGGCAAGAACTCCCAGGGCATGCTCTTCAAGCTCTAGCGCCGCATCTAAGCGCCCACCGCGCATTGTTGCACTGTGTCATTTTGTACCGTGTAATGTTGCCACACACGTACGGTGTGTGTGTGTATGTGTATATATATGTATTTTTTTTTTTTTTTCCTTTTCTGCCACTACCCCCCGGGGGAATGCAAATGAGCACCGCTTAAAAACACATATCAATGGTACAAAAAAAAGAAGATAAAAAAGTTGTTCCTTTTTGGAGTGTGCCAAGAATGGGCTGCCGCGTAAACGCTAAGCCACTAACCGCTGTGCCCTCGCTATGAAGCGCAAAAAAAAGAAAAAAAAAAAAAATTACACAAACATACGCACATATATGTATGTACATGTGCGTGCGGATCGCGACCCACTTAAAAGTCCTCCAAAAATTCGTCGACCCACTCCTCGTTGTCCTCCTTTTCCCATTGCAGGTTTTTAATCTGGTTCACAGTCTTCCGCTTCTTGCTCACTTCCTTGTCCGCTTTATCGTCGAGCTCGTCGTGGGGTAGATTCTTCCTGTGCAGGAGGGCCTCGTGGCCGTTTCTTTTTTTTCTTCTTTTCTTTCGTTTCCCTGGGGACATGTGCATGTTGCTAATATGATCATGTGCGTACCCAGCTGTGTGATCATTCCGTTGGTAGTTTCCTTCACCCCCGTGTTGGTTAGCATCCTGATGGACACCTCCCTCGTCTGCTCCTTCCTCCTCCTTATCGTCTTCATCATCCTCGTCATCGTCCTCCTCATCGTGGTCCTCATCCTCTTCCTCCTCATCGCCATTCACATTATTTTCGAAGCTTAAATCGTCGGTGGAGACAGAAGACTGGCACAAGTTTTTGTGTTCCTCATCTTGAGTAATCTCATCATGCATACTCTGCGTGGAAATTACGACATTGGAATATTTTTTTAAAAAATTTAATCCTTCATTAATTTTTGTGAACATGTCGTAGTATTCGTTCGTTAGGTTAATCTGTTCCTGTTCCTCGGGGGCCAGTCCATTACCTTTCTTTTCAATGTCTATAATGGTTTGAAGTTCTTTGCTCTTGTATGCAAACAGTTTCAGCTTGGCTGTCTCCATGAGGAGAAGAAGTTTTTTTTTCTTTGTATCCACTTGTCCTTTTACAGATGTACATAACTCTTTCAGGTATGAAAGTTTTTCTGCACTTTCGATTATGCTATGTTCATATTCATTTATTTTTTTATTTATGAAATCCAGCTTGTCACTTTTTTTGAAGTAGTGATGGAACTGTCCCTGCTCCTGCCCCTTCCCCTGCTGTGTGTGGTCTACATTGGGCTCCCTGTTTGACTTATTTTCTCCATTGGGGTCGCTTCCCCCATTCGCGTGACACGCGAGTACACTGGAAGCGCTTTCCTCTTCCAACCTCTTCCCGATCAGCATATCAGGTATGATTAGCGAGTCCGAGTAAATTAAATATTTATTAAAAACGTTAAGTAATTTGCTAATGCCATCGAAATCGAATACCATGCAGAACCAGGGGGTGTTGTGGAGGTCAGCTAATATTTCCCCTCGGTTTTTATTTTCACTGACTTGAACGTCACTTATTAAATTTTCAATATAGAGGGACATGGTTTGATAAATTTTTCTCTTCAAGGGCTCGATGATGTACTTGGGGTTGATGTAGAAGAAGGCCTTGGTCTTTGTCTTGTTGCTTCTGATCGGCTTGTTCCTCCCCTCGTTGCGGACGTCGTTGCGGACGTCACTGCGGTCATGGATGTTCTGGTTGTCACCGTGGGTGTGGGCCCGGCGATCCTGCTGATCCTCGCCGTTACCGCTTATGTTAGTACATCCAGCCTCCGCTTCCTCCTCGTCCCTCCGTTTTTTCTCGGCGAACCGATTCATCTTTTTCAAGTCGTACACATGACCCCAGCTGGGAGCGCCCCCTCCTACATTAGCGGTGGCGTTACCGATATGGGTGGTGTTTTCCAAGGGATCCTTACGCACAATGTCGCCGTCTCCACCAAAATCGAGTGCACCGGGGATATTCCCCATGTTGATATTTTCCTGCGCTTTTCCCTCACTTGCATTTCCCTTGAAGGCCCCACTACCCACGAACAACATATCTCCCCCCGCCGCTGCGTTCTCATGAACCCTCGAAATGCTACTCTCCTTGATACCCTCCTTCATGCTTTCCCCGGGGAACCTTCCCTCCTGGTTAGAGTACTCACCAATATTAACACTGTTCAATTTATCTGTGCTGTTGCTCGCAAGTCTATTCTTAATGGGAGTACACAAATGCTTCAGAAGGTTCGCATAATTGTCTGTGCTGATGACGTTGTTGTTTGGGGCACTTTGGTTCACGGTGCACTGATTGGAGGCATGGGTGAGTGCGTTACTTCCGTCAAGCACACCCCCTTTTAACACGGTCCCTTCTCTCTGCATGTCTACCTTGTCAGTATTGTTTTTCAAATTTATGGGCCCCCGCGGGTAGGTACTCTGTGCACCCATAGTGCTTACATAATGCAAGCCGCTAGCATGAGGGACTCCTCCACCAAATAAATTCATACCGTTATAATTGGAGTTCGCCTCGTTAAGCATCCCTCCCTTTGCCCCATCCGCTCCCATACCAATGACCTCACCCACCTTCCCCTTGCTGTGCACGTATCCGTAATTGATTAGGTTTCCCCTGCCTTTTATGGGTCCCTCAGTTATTCCCTTGTGGGAATTCACCACCCCCATCAGATTTCCACCGCTCGGCGCATTGGCCATGGGGATAGATGCGATGTGAGCGTTCCCCATGTTACCCTGGTTGGCCGTGTGTGCCATCCCAACGTCATGGCCCATCGTGGCGAAATGGCTTACTCCCCCTCTCTGGTTCATTCCAAGGACATTCCCACTTGATGGGTTATTCATGGTGTGTTTTCCATAGGTGTGCAGGTTTCCCCCACTGGAGAGGTTCATTCCTGACATGGTCATGCCGTTGCTATTAAGTGCACTACTGAGCAGGGTGCTGTTCAACAGTGTCCCCTTATGCATATTGTTATACCCCTGTGCAGGTGGGACGTTAAATGTATCTAGCTTATTCATGGTATTACCAAAGTTACTCACGTGGTTGAAGTTTTGGTTATTATTCACCCTGTGGTGATGGCTACTGACCGTGTTGGTAAAATTACTCAAAGAAATTTTCTGTCTCAATTGACTCAACTCATTCAGGTGTGTTGACATGTTGACTGCATCTACGTCTTTCAATTTATTTCCGTGATTATCATATACTTTTAAATTTGGGTTCTTAGTGTTGCTCAGATTTTCCGTTGTCTGAAAGGGTACTTGGTTCATGGTTGTGTCACTTGGGGGGAGGGGGTTGTTGTTCCTGGCCATTCCGCCATTAATAAAGTTCGATAAGGCACCTTGCGTATTTCCTAGTGATGCGCTGGTGGTGTTTGTTATAGCATTAACGTTGGAGGTGGTGCCGGCCTGCATACTACGGTACATGTTGCCAAATAGGCCATCTTTCATCATGCTGTCCACGCGACTGGCCTCGGTGTGGCCGCCCTCATACGCCGCTGCGGTCTTGCCGGACGTTGGCATGGGCGCACCACTGGCCGGATTTATTAAGTACGCACCCACCAGTTGGTTCTCCTTCCCACGTGTTCCTAATATGTGCCCCCCGAAAAGGTTTTCCCCCGCAATGGGGTTACTTCCCATGCGGCCTGCACCAACCGGGGGAGGACCCCCCTTGCCCCCCTCCTTGGTGTCCATATACCCCAAGTGTTGTTGTGCACCAGAAAAAATATACTCGCCGCTTTTTATGGGTACGTTCCTGCTGTTGCTAAAGGTGTTCATATTCAGCCTATTCGCGTCAAGCCGATTGGCGTCTACTCTATCGAATCCCTTCACATCGGGGTAGATCCCTTGGCTGAATACATTCTTGTGTGCAGTCCCGTCAGCGGTTGCCAGATCTGAGGGGGCGGTCCCCATGCTGCTATATATGTGGCTGTTCACATTCCCTCCACCCATTTTGTTCTCCACATATAAGAGCCCCCCGTTTGGATAACCCGCGTTGGAGTGTATGCTGTTAAGGTTTACGTGGCTTTGAATTTTACCCACGAATTCGTTTGGATTAATCTTGGTGTTCCCTGCCTGTCTCGAGTCACTCACCTTGTGAGCATTCATTTTTAACGCTCTGCTTTTTTCGTTGGCGTTTTTAATCGGAGTCACTGTTGAGGAAATATTTAAACTGTGTTCGTTTTCGAAGTCTGTTTTTGAATTAACGTTCAGATAATTTGCTCTGCTTTCGTTAAACCCTTTATAGAATATGCTTTGGGAAAATTTGTTGTTCTCCATTTGGGGGGTTAACCAGTTGGTTGATCGAGTCTGATCGGGGCGCTACGATATGGCGCTACGGTCCGCCTCTTATTATAATCGGCCTTATCTCTTCTCACATGTACGAAGAGCAGTGAACAAATCTGCGCAGAGGCGGAGTGTAAGTCTACGATGGAGCTGTCACAGAAAAAGAGAAAATTATGAACGAGTTACAAAAAAAAAAAAAAAAAAAAAAAAAAAAAAAGAGAGAGAGAGAGAGAGACCCCTCTCAAATGCGAACATATATCATCAGTACACGCCCCGTTTAACTCACGTTTCCGCTTCGTTCCTCTTTAACGCGCGATGAACATTAACCTTTTGTGTTAAAATTTCCACGCACCGTTACCACTACTCGTTGGTCTGTACACGCACGTTCATCTGTGTGCATTCCCGAAAGAGTATATTTTCGGAAAAAAAAAAAAAAAAAAATTTACTCTGCAAAATTTGAACGGGTATATTTTTATTCCCCCTTGGCGCGAAGTGGGCAGGAAATTATTTTATTTTATATTTTTTTTTTTTTTTGCGCAAAAATGGGCGACGTGCAAATGGGGTAAGTAACGACTAAACATAAAACACACAAAATGGAACGTACAAAATGGAACATACACAATGAAACACACAGTGTGACGAGTAAATACAATGGTGGCCATAAGGATCAACAGGCCAGGCGAACAAACGGTGTAAAGATAGTAACAAAGGAATTGTCCCATTTGCATACATAGTGTCTTTATTTGGCCAAAAAAAAAAAAAAAAAAAAAAAAATACATTCGTATCAAGGCGCTGACGCCGCGACAATCCGTTTGGAACAAAACAGTAACGCACACACAAATGGGATTGCACTTTTCTGACTGGAGGTGAACAAAGTGGTGGACAGAAGATGCTTTCTCTTTTTTTCTTTCCTTTTGTCCCAAACAAGTGTTAACAAAACTGCGCGAAAAAGAGGCCGAACGCAAAAATCGCCCAAATGGCTGTAAGCAATATTCGCGAGATGGACCAATTCACGCGTGCGCATTGGCCAGAAAGGGAAAAAAAAAAAAAACAAGGCTGTAATGGAGGTTAAGAAATGGGCAAATTAAACGAACTGAAAAAGCTGGAAATTGCAATACACCTCATTTGCCTTCTCTCCAATTCGGTTGTCCATGTGTGTGTTTATAATGAAGTGCTACATGTACAGGTAAGTGTATGCCGGGGTTCCTCCTCTGTATGTCATCTTCCACCCACATTTGAAACACTATATAGTAGTTGAAAAAAAAAAAAAAAAAAAAAAAAAAATTACAGAATAAGCCCCACCCCACCCTCATTGAGTGAACACCATTTTGGATGGCCAAGGAGTGCTGTGTCAAATGGAGGCACCGCAAACGGCTCACTAACTCCCCTCAGTTGCTTCCAACTCGGGAGTTACGCGTCCTCTCCTATTCGGCACCCTACTACAAATGGCCTAGAACGAGCCGCACCTCTAATGGGTTGCATAATTGACTCTGCCCAAGTGGCTCTCCAACAGGAAAAAAAAAAAAAAAAGAAAAGAAAGAAAGAAAAATATAATCATGTGCATGCGTAATGTGTATGTGCGTGCGGCCAGTTCGCACATGTCGGCGCGGAGCAATCAACCGAATCGTGAACAGAAAAAAAAAAAATTACACAAAGATTGACATAGTTCGCTGCTGGGCTGGGACAAAAATCATATTTAGAAGGGTGAGCGTTCCGGGTATTGACCCACAGAGGGGGAAACACTTGTGGGGACGACTCGCCAAGCAGATTGTTCACTCCTCAAACGTGGCCCCAAAGTGCCGCTTAACTGGGTGAAGCTTGCTCATCCCGGTTGATAACTCCTATATGGTACTGCTCCAACGCGAGCTTGAATCAACAATGCCGAGGGCGCTGCCGGGGGAAAGGAACCGTGTTTTGCATTCGAGGCGATCTCTCCTAATCGCCCACTGCTTACCTACCGCGACACGGAAAAAGAGGTCCATTTGTGCAACACACGCTGGAGAAAGATGTGCAGGCTGTGCTTAGCACGCATGTCTAGGTATGCATCCCGCCCCACCAGTAACAACACGGTGGTGACACGGCATGTACTTACATGGGAAGGCAACCTCATGTGGTACGAGTGAATAGGAGGATTTGTTTTTTTTTTGTTTAACTCATCTGCCTCTAAGAGGGAGGAGTATGTGGGGGTAGGATTTGCCCGGGTCGGAACTCCCCACCTTGCGCGCCTAATGTGTACTCCCACACGGCTGCGACGCAGCAGGGCGCGAGGGGAAAATGGCCCTCACGTTTCTGCTCCTCCTGGCATGTATGATGCAGGGCGCACTGGGGATCCACGTGAGGCAGCCCCAGGTAGTGCTTCCCCGCGCAGCCACGAGCATTCAAGGCGCACACCAACGAGGCATGGGGAAGCTTCTTTTTTTAAGCACCCCAAGTAATTACCATCGTGTGCACCTTCACCAAAATCGAATGGAAAACAAAAAGGAGACAAGTCCGGAAGAACAGGACGCGCCAACATTTGATGAATATTTTAACAAGCGGGCAGAGGAGGACTACACCAAGTTAGAAGCGGAGAAGCTTAAAATAATGAAGGAGAATGCCAACACGTATAGGGGAGAAATTAGGAAGGTACTTGAGCGAAGTTACAAAAGCGAATACGAGAAATTGCTCAAGGAGGAGAAGGAGGATGAGGAGGTGAGCGGACAGGTGCACGAAAATCTCAAGATAACGTTTCTTATGAAGGAGAACATAAACAATTTTCTGTTCACGCGGTACAGCTATATGATCAACCGGCTGAAGGAGCAGTCTGCTATTTTGAAGAGCCTGCGCGGGCGAGCGCCGGGGGCCACCACGGAGCAGGACTCCAAAGTGGGCAAGTGTACCGAGGAGCACCCCACCGAGGGGGTGACCTCCGAGGAGAATACTTCCGAGGGGAAGAGCGTCGAGTGGAAGAACGCCGATGGAAAGTGTACCGAGTGGAAGGCCACCGAGGAAAGTGCCCCCCTCGAGTCCGTACAATTCTTCAGACCGCAAACGGGCTTCGCCCAAGGGAGCTGCGCCGAGGCCAGGAATTGCTCCACCTTCAGTGACCATATCTTTGCCAACGCCAAGTTACTGTTGGGCACGAAGAAGGACGCATCAGTTGGGTCATTGTACACATTGGACCAGGAGCAAGACAACCAGAAGGAGGCAATGAAAGAAGAGGACAACCCCATGTCGGGGAGCCTCACAGAGGAAGATGAAAGCGAACAAAAGCTATTCTCAAGAAGCAACGTATCCGCCCTAGAGCTCTTCAAAAATAACGTGAACACATTCCTCTCTTATAAAAAGGAAAACATAATAAAAAATAACCTGCATGAAAGTTTACTCTACGGAAGAGTGAAGGTCCACTGGTTCCCCAAATTCATGAAAAGGATCATTTCGAAGTTGTCTGATTATATAAAAGTGAGTGATGTGATTGTGGAGGTCAGAAATGGAATCATCCCTTTCGTGTTCGACGATTTGCACGCACTAGATATTTTTAATTTTAGGACCAACAAGCCAAGAATAATTGTTTATACAAATTGTGATCGGTCTTCCATCAAAGGGAATGAAGAATGGGGGAGCTACTACAGGAGGAAACTTTTCTGGTACGATAAAAACTTCAATAAAAAAGTAGAAAATAAAGAAGGCATGCAAAATCAACTCAAAAAAAGCGCCGTTATATTTGTGGATGCGAAAAATGGCAAGAAGGAAATTATTGTGTTAAAAAAATTAATTAACAGATTATGTCATCATGTGATTGAAAGGAAAAAAAAAAAAGGTCTCCACAACTATAAAGTGAAATGCATTTTTATCGGGTTACCCAATGTCGGCAAGTCAGCTCTTATTAATCGTTTGCTCGAGGTGAAAAAGACCAAGTCGTATGACTACCCAGGTCTTACCACGAACATACAAATGTATTCTACCAAAAAGTACGAACTGATTGATACACCTGGAATTTTAGCACCCAATCTTTATACACTAAGGGAGAGAGTGATCACAAGTAAGAATGCTATACTAGATAAAATTTATAATCGCCATCCTAGTGATGATAACAGTACCGGCAATAACGTCGTTCATATTCGAAACTACAATAGTTACATGCACGTGGAAAATAACATTTACCTGCTTGCTCTTTGCAACCACATAACTCCAAAAATGTATGACATATACAACGTCGCGGAGACGCTCCTACAAAACTTCCACAGTGCTTATGTTTACGACAATGAATATGTGGACATGGCCAAAATTATCAAGCGCTATCAAATTAGTTTCACAGACTGTGTGGACTTTGAGGGGAAATTCAGCGCCTACCACTTCATTCAGCGCTTGGCGCGGGATCGTTTCCACAATGACTTGAACCAAGCCTCTATGCGCCTTGTCACGGACTTTCGCAAGGGATACCTAGGTCGCATGACACTCAGCTACCCTCTCTACTTCAATCGGCGTTCCATTCGCCTCCGCGTGGCTCAGCAATACATACGCCAACCCGGCGACCGCTACGTGGGTTGGTAAGGGTGTATTGACGCCGTCCACATTTGCATCACCGCGGCGCCATTTTTTCTTTTTTTTTTTGTTCGTTTCGCTGCACTTACGTACATGTTAATTAAAAACAAAAGAGGGGGGAGGAGGTCGAAATGAGTCAAAGGGGAGTTAGCAAAACATCACAAAAGGGGGGCAAAATAAGGTCATTGGCGTATTGCAGAAGTGGTGTGCCATAAATCAAACTGGCTGCTTCGCTCCCGGCCAGCTGCAAAGGGGCAAAAAAAAAAAAAAGGTGCACATGTGGATCAGCGCCGGGAAGGGGGATGTATACAACCGCGCACACATGCACGTATGCACACACACATGCATCGAGTACGTGCGTGTGTGTAGGGGGGGGGCTCGTTTACCTGGTCAATTTCAAGCAGTCCGTGAATAATTCAATCTCCTGGGAGACGTCGTACGACGCGCTGTCCTGCACAACGCGGAGGTAGGCCAAGCGATCCTCTATCAACACCTTCAAGTTATGAAGGTAACCGAACTTGGCCAATTTATGGCGGTGGTTCTGCATCAGAGCCAAAAAGAGTTCGGCTGTCGTCTCCCCATATTGTATACCTGTCTCGTCTATATTTTTGTTTTTTGCAAGACATATGAGTCCTTTCATTATTTCATTTTTTAAAAAAATTTCAAATGTAATTTTGTTCTGATGTACCAGATGCTTTAGCAGCAGAGCCGACTTCTCCTGGTACTGGTAAATATTTGTTTGCATCCCATACACTAAAAATCCTACCCCACCATAGTCAATAAATTTATTTTCCGCCTCATCATGGTGTCTAATCAGGGCAGAAATAGCTGTTATTAATTTTTTATCAATCACCGTCTTCTGTGATTCTTGGAGCTTCAGCAATAATGTTTTTAGGCCGTTTTTTTTGAAGACGCACTCTTGTAGTTCAGGATTATTTGAAAGAGCTAGGGAAAATATTTGCAACACCGACTCTAGGATGTGATTGTTTGTTTGGTTTAACAATTTTAACAAGGGATCTATTGCATTTATTTTGTGTAGATTGCGCGAGACCTCCGGGTACTCGTCGACTAGCCTTTCCACGATTTTGGCCGAGGCCAGGATAATCCCTTCATCATCATTTTCAAAGTTACGTACTGCTTCGTTTATCGCTTCGTATGGATCCTCCACTTGACTCAGGGCATCCTTGATCGCCCCCTGAAGAAACTCAATGTCTTCCTGGCTTAGCCGTTTGTTCGTGTCGATGGTGCCGTCTGCGGTGGGAAGACAGAGAAGCAGTGGAGTCAGGTGAAGCAGTGGAGAGGCGGTGTAGGAATGTCGCCCAAGACGTACACACCCACCCCGTGCAGTGCACACATTGACGCGTCCAGTACGCGCACAGACCGAGAGGGGCCCAGGTACCTACCTGCATATTTAGTCGACCATTTGAGAAGCCCTGGCCAATTTATGTTTACCATGTTCTGTTCTCAGTCTTGCTGTGTTTGGGGCTGCGGGGGTGCAGAGGCGTGCGCCTGCACGTAGGTGTGAGCGGGAGGTAAGCTACACAAAAAAACAGCGTCCCTATATTTACGGTGTACATATATGATGGTTATACTTTGCTGCTAAGCGAGGGCAGCCTTTTTGTTTTTTCCCCCCTTGTTTTTTACTCCAAAATGGTAGTATATATTTTATCTAAGTGGGGAATGATTCTCCTGACCCTTTTTCCACAAGGGTGATGCAAAAAAAGAAAAAAGAAAAAAAAAAAAAAAAAAGAGGGGTGGAATTGTTACTAAAAAAGGCGTAACTTTCTCCTTCCACTTAACAACGCGATGAGAGAAGTACCTATACTCTCGTGGGACGTTATCTGTCGAATGACGAGGCGCTTATCTTGGGATTCCCTTTCCCTTGCTGTTGCGTTTACTCAAAACGGAGAAAAAAAAAAAAAAAAAAAAAAAAAAAAAATTGGCAGTGTAGGAAAATTGCACAAAATGAAGATATTAAAGGAAGAAATGACGAATACACCCCAATACCTGTGCGAAATTTTACGAAAAAGGAGAGAAAACCATCACACTTTTATTTATTTAATTATTTTTTTTTTTCTGCATCGCCTTACGTTATATACCTCCCGTGATGTACGTCAAAATGGCAAAGTAATGGTGTGGTCCTCCCCACCCCACCGCCGAACAACAAAATGGCACAAAGCGCGCCCAGTCACTGTGTAGGCAGCCACACGAGGAAATGAAGCGTCTCCGCATGGCGCAACAGTGAGCAGGAGTTTCCTTTAAAAAAAAAATAAATAAATAAAAATATTGTTGTTTAAAAAAAATAAATAAAAATAAGTTTTCCTTAATAAAAAAATGATAAATGTATGAACCGTTGCAGGGAACCATATGAGCATCGTACCCACGGACCGAGTCACAAACGGAAGAAAACGATCTGCCTCCACTACGTCGTCTTTATTGTGGAGCAGGACAACATTATGCATTCTCGCTGCTTCTATATGTGTGTGTTCTCCCTCACAGGGGTGAGGCGGCAACCCCCTGCTTCTCTGTGATGTGGTGTGAAGGATCGTTCGAAAAGGAAATCCACGATGAGTATTTACATTTCGTGGAGAGGGGGAAAGAGACCAAACACACGTTGTTGCCACACCGGAATTATAGCAGCCACTTGGTTTAACCCCCATTCACACATAAGCAGGTGATCAATTGGAATGGTCCACTAGGTGGGGGAAACAGAAAATGAGCATATGGTCCAAAACGGACAAAGCGGTCAAGGTGTAACATGTCCATAACTCGCGCATCCTCCCGTTGTGCACGTTAATTAACCACAATGGGAAAAAAAAAACAAAAAATTTTGCACACATGTACATACACTCATATGAAGGCACATCGCACAGTTCAGGTTCCCCCATTCAAAGGTCGACTCTATAAAAAAGCAAACAAACAAACGTCCCAGCATTATTTACCCATTTTAATTAAAAACTGTTTTAAGTCTCCTGCGTCGAATGAGCAGTCCCACTTTTTCTCATGTCTAATTATTCCCCACGTACAGCTTGAAGTTGTGCATTGACCTGCCTCCTCCTCCTCCTCCTCCTCCTCCTCCTCCTCCCCCTGTGTTAATTCGTTCTTGTGCAGCGTTGCTAAACGTTGCAACCCCCGCAAAAAAGCGCTGAGCAGGAAGTAGCATATCTGTGTCGACCTTTGTCCC